GGATCGTGTAGATGTTTGTGAGACTCGTAATTTCATTGAGCTGCGAAGTAGCCAGGAGATGGGCATACAGCAAGTATCATAATAAAGTATTAAGATCGCTTGTGTTGTGATCGAAACGTCGTGATTGTTTTGTTTTCATACAATTTTATTGTATTTCTACATACGTGGCTTTACCGAAAAAACCAGTGAGTAATACAGCAAGTATGTTCATGGAGCATTCTGTAAGGACATTGGAGTGTTATCACCTGGGTTTCTTTTTAGGTAACTCAGTTGTGTCCGACACACACAAAAAAGCTAAAAGAATTAACTAATTATCAAAACAAGGAAGGCCCAATGCAGCACCCTCCTAAAACGTCAAGAGATTATTTTCTGGGTGAATAAATGACGTTATTGTGATGATTAGAGAGGAAGCGATGAAATCAATTCACGTGCAGTCGGCTAAACGGAACATCACATGGCAGGACCACGAGAGATGATGACGGTTTCGTAAGACCTTTACCCAGCAGTGGCGGTCGGTCGTGGCGGCCGCCGCCGCCGCCGCCGCTGATAAAGACGATGACGAAATCAGCGCTTCTGGGTAAGGATACGGGGGAAAAACCAGGTCACACGTTGGTGGGCATCCCCATGCCAACGGTCGGGCGCTGCTGCCCATCGCTTGAGCTTTCACTTGGCAAGTCGAGCCACGGTTTTCTCTCTCCCCCCAACCCCGCCGCCCCACCCGCCGTGACAGTTTTTATTTTTCCTTACCTTTAAATGGCAGCAACGCATGTCGTATTGATTTTTCCCCTTTGTGCCGCAGAGGCATAACTAATGTGTTAAGGGAGGGGGGGGGGCAGGCAGGCAGGCAGGGGGGGGGGAATTAATGAAAAGAGAAACGTTGCTGCCAGCAGCAGCAAGCTCGCAGGCAGGGTTGAAGGCTTGACAACACGGGGGCAGTAAGGGAGGTCAAACAGCCGACTAATAACCCATTAACGCCTCGCGCGCCGCACCCCAAGCTAGTGCTTTCCGGTGAAATATTAAACGCACAAGGCTGATTTAAACGCTCACTTTTGTTTACGACATTGTCTGCGCCATATGCCGGTTCTGCACGGATTACGCCAGGGAGTTCGAACCCTGCCGAAAAAAAAGGGGCACTCGTAATTAGGCAGAAAACAGGGAGAAGCCGCCTCAATATTTATGGAGCCAGCGAACGGCGCTCGGAGCACGGCTTCGCCACGGAGGCTCCGTCGTGCACGAGTGGCTGGGAATCAAAGGGAGACCGCGCGAGGCTACGCGAGGTGCACGGGGGTCACGGGGGTCACCCCCGAGGAACCGGGAAGATAAACATTGCAGAGCACGGAGCACAATTTCCAGACACGGGATTTCACAGCAAGCAACGGCGGCTGCCGGCGTTTTTGTGCAACGCTTATCAACCGACTGGGAGAGATCATTCAACAAAAGGGTGCCAGCCGTCCGGCGCAACAACCTGCAGTGGTGACGCCTGACGTGGAGTTGGAAGCCATCGTGCACAATGCCAGCGTCGAGACAAACGACGAGCCCAGACCTGGAGTTCCACTCAACTGAGCAGGCGGCAGTGCTCACCAGGGAGCCCCGTGGTGGCCTTTCCTAATCCCGTGGTGGGGGAAGAGTCTGTTTGTAACTACTGCCGTTGGCTTCTCCAGAGTGGTACTTATTTAATTGACTCAGGAGGGATGAGGCGCTGGTGGACTCCAATACGGGGTTTGAACACATCACTTGATCAACCGTTGTTTATTTGTGACATGGAAGGTCCCTGTAGCCAGTTACCCAGCAAGCACAGAATAATAACGACGACATCAAAGTGATCCGTAGAGAGGAACAGGCAATGGTGCAACAGAACTTGTCAGGTGCAGGCAAAACACAATCATTAACAATATCAACAAACAAACAGGCATATTACACGCAGACATATTACATACATACTGTAGCATGCCTGCATTTGGTTGTGCTCGAAAGCAAGGACGTAGCAAGTATCCGTACCTACGATTAGCACGGTTGGCTACGTACGGTGCAAAAGAAGTTCAATATTCATACTTACGCACGAATTACATACACCTTTGAGTGCGGGCTAAGTGCTTCACCACTGCGCCACCGGGGTGAAAACAAAATAAATCATAAAGCACAGTGCACTAAAACAACGATTATAGAAACATTTCTAATGAAATTGTAAAACTATCACACTAAATACTGCTGGAAAATGTTGAAAGATTACAAAAGGAAGGATGGGGTGGGGGGGAAGACACGTATTTTTTATGCCACGTATCTATAAAGCCTGTAAGCGGCACCAATTAGCGGCATGTATGAGTAGAGTAAGAGATGATGTTGGTTATGACAACATTCGTGGACTCGGAGTGGCTGATGAGTGTGGGACGCGAGAGCTCGGAGTGACAAGAAGAAGCAGCGGCAGCAGCAGCAGCAGCCTGGGTCTGCCGGGCGGTGGCGGGGAAGTCGCCGCGATCATGAATTGGGCCCCGCAGGGCCGGGTGACTTCACACGGTTGAGTTGTTTAAGCGTCGGGCCCGAAAGGGGATTAGTGGTGAGCTACTCCTGGGGGAGGAGGGGGGGGGGGGAGTCGAGGGGTGAGTAACTGAGTTGGTGAGGTACTGAGGGAGTGTGAGTGGTGAGGTAAGGAACTTGTGTGAGTAGCGAGCTACAGTGAGGGAAAAAAGTATTTGATCCCCTGCTGATTTTGTACGTTTGCCCACTGACAAAGAAATGATCAGTCTATAATTTTAATTGTAGGTTTATTTGAACAGTGAGAGACAGAATAACAACAAGAAAATCCAGAAAAACGCATGTCAAAAATGTTATCAATTTATTTGCATTTTAATGAGGGAAATAAGTATTTGACCCCCTCCCAATCAGAAAGATTTCTGGCTCCCAGGTGTCTTTCAGGTAAGGAGCTGAGATTAGGAGCACACTCTTAAAGGGAGTGCTCCTAATCTCAGCGTGTTACCTGTATAAAAGACACCTGTCCACAGAAGCAATCAATCAATCAGATTCCAAACTCTCCACCATGGCCAAGACCAAAGAGTTCTCCAAGGATGTCAGGGACAAGATTGTAGACCTACACAAGGCTGATGGGCTACAAAACCATTGCCAAGCAGCTTGGTGAGAAGGTGACAACAGTTGGTGCGATTATTCGCAAATGGAAGAAACACAAAAGAACTGTCAATCTCCCTCGGACTGGAGCTCCATGCAAGATCTCACCTCGTGGACTTGCAATGATCATGAGAACGGTGAGGAATCAGCCCAAAACTACACGGGAGGATCTTGTCAATGATCTCAAGGCAGCTGGGGCGATAGGCACCAAGAAAACAATTGGTAACACACTACGCCATGAAGGACTGAAAACTTGCAGCGCCTGCAAGGTCCCCCTGCTCAAGAAAGGACATATACATGCCCGTCTGAAGTTTGCCAATGAACATCTGAATGATTCAGAGGACAACTGGGTGAAAGTGTTGTGGTCAGATGAGACCAAAATGGAGCTATTTGGCATCAACTCAACTCGCCGTGCTTGGTGGAGGAGGAATGCTGCCTATGACCCCAAGAACACCATCCCCACTGTCAAACATGGAGGTGGAAACATTATGCTTTGGGGGTGTTTTTCTGCTAAGGGGACAGGACAACTTCACCGCATCAAAGGGACGATGGACGGGGGCATGTACCGTAAACATCTTGGGTGAGAACCTCCTTCCCTCAGCCAGGGCATTGAAAATGGGTCGTGGATGGGTATTCCAGCATGACAATGACCCAAAACACACGGCCAAGGCAACAAAGGAGTGGCTCAAGAAGAAGCACATTAAGGTCCTGGAGTGGCCTAGCCCGTCTCCAGAACCTAATCCCATAGAAAATCTGTGGAGGGAGCTGAAGGTTCGAGTTGCCAAACGTCAGCCTCGAAACCTTAATGACTTGGAGAAGATCTGCAAAGAGGAGTGGGACAAAATCCCTCCTGAGATGTGTGCAAACCTGGTGGCCAACTACAAGAAACGTCTGACCTCTGTGATTGCCAACAAGGGTTTTGCCACCAAGTACTAAGTCATGTTTTGAGGAGGGGATCAAATACTTATTTCCCTCATCAAAATGCAAATTAATTTATAACATTTTTGACATGCGTTTTTTCTGGATTTTTTTGTTGTTATTCTGTCTCTCACTGTTCAAATAAACCTACCATTAAAATTAAGAACTGATCATTTGTTTGTCAGTGGGCAAACGTACAAAATCAGCACGGGATCAAATACTTTTTTCCCTCACTGTACGTAGGGGGGTGTGGGTGGTGAGGGCATTGCGTGGAGCCGTGCACATGGAATGAGAGCATCTCCTGAGAGGACATCTGTGGGGGGTTCAATAGCCTGGCTATTTTCACTCAATGTTGCTGTCATATACCAGGTTATATTTATAAGCAATTCTATAACGAAAAGTAAAACAAAATCAAATATTTTCGCATCCTAATTTTCACCAAAATGTCATTTTGTCACTTAACGATATTTTTTTAAAATCCAGGCTTGAATTGTTTAAAGCGCTTCACTTTGTTTGGCAGGGGAGAGAAACGCCGCAGCCTCAAGATGAAAGGCTTCCATTTCAGGGTGGCAACAAGGCTCTGCCATGGAACTCACGATGAAGTGCTGCCACACAGTTAATGTGCCGCCTCCAATCTCGACAACAGAGGGCCGGGCGCGCTCGAAGAGTTACAATGCAACAAGCTAATTAACGAGACAACTCAGGCCCAAGCGAGCCTGCCTGTGTACAGGCAGGGTCACCCTGTGCCACACTCATCTCCACACTATTCGCGTCCCAGTGTTACGTGGACGGGGTTATCAAATACACTTAGCGACTCGTCATAATTACGATCGACCAAAGTCAAAGAGGCAAAAACCGACTCCGCCGGCCGTCGACTTTCGACCGTCGGCGCGCGTTCTTAATCGCGCCGCCGTGGAGTAACCCTGGCGTTCGCGGCGGCGTTCGTTGGATCGTCCCGTTGCCTTGCAAATCCCCGACGACGGCGGCGCTTCGTCGAGGGAAAGCCACCCGACGCGCGGCGTCGAGGCAGCTGCAGACGCAGGGGCGGGGGACCAACCGGGAGCCGCGGTCAAGGCCGTTTAGGAACCATTACAGAGGGGGCCCATCAGCAGCGTTTACTGCGAAATTAATTTGGGGCATCCGAGACGGCGCGTGGATTTACTCCGCGCGCCTGCCAAAAGCGGTCTCGGCAGGCATTTGAAGGCGAATCCGCTGATCAATATCACGCTGGCACGCCGATGAAAGGAGAAGCAATATTTCATCCCAAGGCATCAAGAGAGGCCCCACACGGGCTGGCTGGATGCTCAGAGCCACCGGGTGGCAAACGCGTGCCCCACCGCTCCCCGCGTGGACCCCCACGCCCAGGCGGGAGCCGCGTCGCGCCCTGGCCGAGAGGAACGCGAACATCAAAAGGCAGGGGGAAATTTTCCAAATGCTCGTTTGCTTGCTTTTAAATGTATCTATGCGTTTGTTTACACTAACCTAACTCCAGGCACCGGTGCACTCTTACAGTATTCATAAGCTCGGCGTTATTTTCTGCTTTGTTAAAAGTGGCTCCGTTTACAGCGAGGGGGGGGGGGGTGCTGGGAAATGCTGGGGGGTGGTCGAGCGATGGGGGCGGCAGTGTGCGGAGGTGGCCCCACGCGGCCTAGCCGTGATGCTCTGGGGTCTGACTTCGCCCACCAACTGCCGCCACCTTCACCAGTTCAGGACCCCGGCACTGGTTCCCCGATTGCCGGTGCATTATTAACAAGCGAAGCAACCTTGCAGGGAACATTCATCCTCTTGTTCGCACTTCAGCAGCTCCCTGCGACACATAAACCACCCGGCAACAATCCGCACCGAGGGAGCGGGCCTTCACGTGCCGATGTCGTCGGCAAATCTGCCGTGAAAGCTGCCTTCGGTACCCAAAATCCCTTCTGGAGAAAATACGATAACAGCGTTCTCCCCAAACAAGCAACGGGGAGCCACAGCAAACTTAATGCATTATTTAAATGTCATTGTAAATTATCAATCGAGTTCCTATTCTGAAGATCTAGCAGGTACTCGCATTAACAATGCATGATGTTTTGATCAGAAAGAGACTGAAAATTGGCACGAAAGATCAAAAGAGCCAAAACAAAAGCCTAAAATGTATACAGCGGTGAAGCGGGGGGGGGGGAACCATCAACACGTAACGAAAAGCATTTGCACTTGATTTGAATTCTGCTGACCTGGATCCGATTGATTTCCCAGAAGCAGCAGTGCAGCCGCTTTCTTGTAAATTATCAAGGCAAACCATTGTGATCGTCTACCACTTAGGTCGGAATTATGCAGGCCAGTGGTAAAAACAAAAACAAAGCCCACTTCTGAGTCTCGTTGCCATGAATGCTCAGATCAACACAACGCTTCAGTTATCAGAGTTTAAAAAAACCCGTGCGGTTGCTATCATCAATTTTGGGTAAGCATGTTTTTTATTTACAGACACTAGCAGCCCACACAAACCTTTGGACTTGATCCTCCCTCCAGTCATGACGTCCAACCAGCCAGTCAACCAACGTTTTTTTTTCTAATATAATGATTGGTGACCGAGCTGGAACCATCAACTCACTACGACTTAAGAACTTGATTTAAGCACGGGCAGCTGAAGCCTGGATTCGAAATCCACAATCTTAGCGGTCCCACCTCAGCGAACCGCCCTCCGAGCCACCCAACCAACCAATTGACACCATTTAAGAATGATTTGAAGCATCGGTGCTTACTACATTCCAAGGAAGCTTTTATACATTGGCACATGAACCGGATCACATCGCTGGTCCGTTAAAATTATAACCGCGAAGGTATTCTGAGAGGGGACATCACTGGCGGTGTAGGCCACGTGTGGCCTCACTCAGGCATAAGCTGAGGCCTGGTAAGGTGTGACTTCCTCTCAACAATCAAGTGCAAAACTGATTCAAACAAAGCGTATTTTACGGAATCCGTCTTGGCATTATCTGCTATCAAAGTGCCACCCGTACACTTCAATGTAACTTTAAAAATTACTCCAATGGGAAGCAAACCTCGAATGGCTACACTGCTTGATGGAGAGCAGCCCTCATAAATAACCGCCCCACATACGTTTATTTATTTCTATGTAAATCCAATTCGTCACTTGTACCTCTTATGCAAGTAACCTCGCTTTTTCCCCCAACATGGTCAGATTGTATGGCGAGCGCGCATGTAAATGTGTGATATTCTCTGCCAGCACCACATCACCCATATCTTCCGAAGCCATGGTAGACATTTCATGTCTCTAGGTCACAATCGCGATCGTCTTGTCAGAAAAGCGACCCATGATTTGCAAGGCTGCACGTTTTCGCCCTGGCAATGAATATTCGTGACAGCCCGCGACCAAATTATCTGGAATGCTCCCAATCTCGTTAGACCTCAGAAACCAAGCAGGTTTGAGCCTGGATGACACTTGGATGGGTGACCGCCATGCATAAAACAGGTTTCATAGGTCGCATACAGAAATATATTTTCATAAACAAACACTGATATTGCTGCCGAGAATTGTATACATTTTGACGAGCGTCTGATACGAATTCCCACCGTGATGAGGGCTGAGAACGGATTAGGATGCGGTTGACACAGCGGCAGCAGCAGCGCCTTCGCTGCAGGGAGAGCCCTTGCAGCGAACCAGATGCCTGCTAACAGTGTCGAGATATCTGGATGCACACTCACACAATCAATGTGCGTGTGCAGACGGGTGGGAAGGAGAGGGCAGATTCCTCGACTGGAAAAAAAAAAAAGTCTAATCCCTTGATGTTGCCAGCACTGGTGGTTTCATCTGTGAGGCTCTTAGTTTTCCTGCTAAATCATTTTTTTGTTTGTCGCAGCCGAGGAAGGGAACGCGTGCAGGATGACGGCCGCTGAACAGAGACGGAGCAAAGAGGTGTGCGGAAGTTAGATGAAAGCGTTGGATCCGCAGGACCACGGGCGATGGCGGAGGCCTTCATCCAGCAGTGGATACATAGATCGCAGCTGATGAATGTACGACGCGTGAGGGGACAGCTGTCGCCTCCTAATACCGTGCCTGGACTGCTAATGCAATTCTCTGGGTACTCGCGTGTTTATATATTTAAACTACCTACAAAGTGTGGTAAGTGTATTTTCAGGTCTGCGTTTGAAAAAGGAGTCTGAGCCAGTGAGCAGAAGTGTCAACACGTTTCGGCTCGTTTAATATCGCGCAGCCGAGCAGGCTGCCAACGCCGCGTGCAGACACCCACTTGCGCTCCCCCACTCCAGCCATGCAAGACGGGCTCCGCGTGCACACACACGCGCACACTCGCAGGAGCACGCGCATGCTCGCAGAAGCACAGACACACGCGCACGCTCGCAGAAGCACACAGGCCCACAGGAGCACACAGGCCCACAGGAGCACACGCGCTCACAAGAGCACACGTGCTAACAGGAGCACACGTGCTCACAGGAGCACACGCGCTCACAGGAGCACACGCGCTAACAGAAGCACACGCGCTAACAGGAGCACACACGCTCACAGGCACACACACGCCCACAGGAGCACACACGCTAACAGTATCACACACGCTAACAGGAACACACACGCTCACAGGAGCACACACGCTAACAGGAACACACACGCTCACAGGAGCACACACGCTCACAGGAGCACACACGCTAACAGTAGCACACACGCCCACAGGAGCACACACACTAACAGGAGCACACACGGTAACAGTAGCACACACGCCCACAGTAGCACACACACTAACAGGAACACACACGCTCACAGTAGCACACACGCTAACAGGAGCACACACGCTAACAGGAGCACACACGCTCACAGGAACACACACGCCCACAGTAGCACACACGCTAACAGTAGCACACACGCTAACAGGAGCACACACGCTAACAGGAGCACACACGCTAACAGTAGCACACACGCCCACAGGAGCACACACACTAACAGGAGCACACACGCTCGAAGGAACACACGCACACGCGCACGCTCAGAGAAGCACACACGGGCGCACACGCTCACGCGACAGGAACGCAATCAAATAAATACATCGCAAATCTGCAATGCATGTAGACGCATGTGCGCACACAATTCTGTACATACGTACATACGATCTGCTCTCAGTGCTTCATTTCTACGGTGGACGTCCCCCTCTTGGGCACATTCTCTCCTTTAGCTGCCACTCCATCGTTGGCCTCAGCCATTGGCCCACCAACCCTTTAAGGGCCAGGCCCGATCAAATCCCGCTTACTTTTCCAAACGGTCGATGTCTCAAAATTTCTTACGTTCTGAAATCCACGTGGCTCCTCTTTCTGTCTCACGGCGTCATTCAAAGCATTCACCTGCAATATAAAACAGGAACCCAAATAGATGACATTACAAGCGTCAGCCCTGGAAATGCCCCACGCTAACGAATCACACATCTAAAAACACACCTTGTGTGACGTGACTGCGATCTGTAGAGTGCAACGAATGCCTCCCATTAACAAAAGAGTGAAGTGTCGAAGCAGCAGCCCGAGGACTCTGCACGTCGGTCAGGCACAAAGGATGACGAGGAATTGGATCTTGCTTTTAATGCACTTTCCAGCGATCTTGTTTAAACGGACGAGACGGACGCACGGCCTCACACGTAAGCGCCGTGTCTGCCGTGTAGCCATTCATTAGCCGTTGGCCAGCGTCGTGTAATTCTACCCCCGCTCCCCGCTCCCTGCTCCCATGCAGCTGAAAAGAACATCTTAACCTTTTTTAGCGAAATCCCTTCGGCACGCCATCGACACGGCAAGCTTTGCAGACGCCGCGCGAGGGAACGGCAAAGCCTTGGCAACAAATGGAATTCGACAGATTGTTGCCACGCGCGTGCATTTTCACGGAACCTTTTGATGCATTTTTATAATTTAAAACAAATTAGCGATGTGTGTTTGCGCTCGGTGCATGCGCTTTGGTTTTTTGTTTTGTGGAGTGCACCTCTCTGAGAGGCTTTTCAAAAACATTCATTTTACAAATTAAATTCGAGACACATTTGACAAACGACTACAAAATGCTGAGTTGTGACACAGACAATTTCACAGCACGTTTAGGCTACTCCCAACTCAGGGCCATTCTCTGACGGGGCATTCTTCCACTGCTCTTTTCAGTAGCTTTCAAATTCTAAACTCATCAATTTTTGTTGTTGTTACACTTCAGCCGGCTCGTAAGCACGCACGCAGCCTCCCTGAGGTGAGGAGGGACGGCTCAGCTTGAGCCACACTCGCAAGCCCGGCCACACTGAGCCACCACAAAGCCACACTCGCAGGCTGAGTCACCACTGAGCCACACTCGCAGGCTGAGCCACCACTGAGCCACACTCGCAGGCTGAGCCACCACAGAGCTACACTCGCAGGCTGAGTCACCACTGAGGCACACTCGCAGGCTGAGTCACCACTGAGCCACACTCGCAGGCTGAGTCACCACTGAGCCACACTCGCAGGCTGAGTCACCACTGAGCCACACTCGCAGGCTGAGTCACCACTGAGCCACACTCGCAGGCTGAGTCACCACTGAGCCACACTCGCAGGCTGAGTCACCACAGAGCCACACTCGCAAGCTGAGTCACCACTGAGCCACACTCGAAGGCTGACTCACCACTGAGCCACACTCGCAGGCTGAGTCACCACTGAGCCACACTCGCAGGCTGAGCCACCACTGAACCACACTCGCAGGCTGAGCCACCACTGAGGCACACTCGCAGGCTGAGTCACCACTGAGCCACACTCGCAGGCTGAGTCACCACTGAGCCACACTCGCAGGCTGTCACCACTGAGCCACACTCGCAGGCTGAGCCACCACTGAGCCACACTCGCAGGTTGAGTCACCACTTGAGCCACAGTCGCAGGCTGAGCCACCACTGTGGACACAAAACCTTCTGTGGGTGTTTGTAAATCTCTACGTTGTGTAGTGCGTTCCACGGGGACTCACACTCGAACTTGGAGGCAACACGTTCATTATAACACCCCAACAGGGTAACTGCATAAACGTACACTTGGTTAACTAGACCACAACGGGTAACTACATAACCGGTTCAGTCAGTAACACACTGCCTGACCCACGAAGCCGAGCATAAAGACCAAAGACCGAGGATTGAAGAGACATAGCACCGACGCGTTCCATTCCAACAGCCAGCCCAGATTGCTCTTGGGACCTCTGCTTTATGCTTCGGAGCGTGGCCTCGCTCCGCCCTCTGCCACGCCCCCTTCTGGATTTCACCAGAAGGTTCTCGGCCCCTCATCACGTGTCCCTCAAGCCCCCTTTGGGCCCCCTCGCTACCCTGTTCCGCTCACGTGCCCTCTCGGGTTCACCCAGACTGTCACGTCCTCACTTGCCCTCCCTCTGACCATCACCAGAACGATGCCCCCTAGGGCCCGCTTCCGTGCCATACCTCCCCTGGTGCCAGAGAGACTTAAGACGCAGTTCCACTCTTGTGACAGCAGCTGGCGCTAACCGCCATCATGACTCCATTTACGTCACTACCTTAGTATTAATTTGTTCAAAACTGCCTTTTTATATAGATTACGTATGTTATTTTTAATGTAATTTTATTGTTTACTTTTGTGTTTTATGTACAGCGCTTTGAGTTAACATGTCAACAAAGGTGTTTTATGACATAAACATAATTAATACAGATTATTATTTCTATATAAACAATAGTTCAATGTGCATTGGGGGCAGTGATGAAAATCTTGCATTCCCATGGCAGAGCTCTATCTCACGACGAAACAACTGCTGGCTTCCCACAAAGCCATTCTCTCCAGAGTGGTTACCTTTAAACTAATCCTGTACGGATGAAGGCCTGGACACGCCACGCAGGCCGTGGAGCTTCTGTGAACTTTGCGGCGAAACTTAGCGGCAACCAATACCGGCAGCCGTCCGACAACCGCACTGCGGAAAAGCCGAGCGTCCCGCTGGGGTCAGACTTCCATAACAAACTTCATTAAATCTGACACTCGTGGGGAAATGTGGAGAGCGACCGGGAGCCACAGGGATGTCGGAGCGCTAAGACGCTTTGTGCCCGCCTGGCTATGTGGCGTGTGTCACTCGGCTACCCGGTTTTTCGTGCCTCGCCCACGCGCTCAAGCGTCTGAGGCCCTTGCCATTATTACACCGGGTGCTCAAGTGTAGCCATTTGATGGTCTCAGTCCTGTCAGCAATGTCTGAACATTTGTTTTTATTAAATGTTGGGTTTTCACTTTGCTCTCACAATGAAAACATCGGTTTGCCTGCAATGAGAAATATATCCGCCCTTACAGGAGAGTGTGTGCTAAAGTGTTCCCCCTGTTGTGCAGAGACAAAGGTAAGGGTTGTTAGAAGCTATGCGACGATGTATGGCGTAGTCGCGCTCGGACATGTGTGATCGCAACGCGCTGCGAGATTTCCAAGTGGAGTCTTCGTCTCCCGTGGGATGACAATGCCGCGAAAACAAACGGCGGGAGGACGGGGGGGCAGGGGGGAATTTTGGGGAAACGTCACGAAAATTAGTAAATAAACCTCTTCGTTCAGCTTTTTTCAAGACCACGTACGCTGTGTAGAATTTTACGAACAAAGAAAATGCCTTCAAAAGCACGTTCAAAAGTTGGAATCACCCTATTAATGATTTTACTGAAAATAAAGCCAACGACGCATGCTCACAACGATAAAGGAGGAGGTGACCTGGTCATCACCGCCCCCTTTGTACGTTCTATTTCATAAAATATGTTCAATACAATGCATAAAAATTATAGGCGCCCGCCTGGTAACAAAACACATTTCATCGCATTGTTATCACTAACAAACCAGAGGGAAAACCCATTCCCCAATCTATCTGAATATCTCAAAACAATTAAATGAACAAATTACCTTGGCGGCCGCACGTAACGGGCGGAAAGGGATTACGGCGTGCGGTGATGCCGCACGCTTTTATATTTTGTTTCCCCGGAAAATAGTTCCAAAAATAAACTCCCACTACCACCGGTGTCGCGGGCATGTCTCGCAAATCCAGCAGCGTCTCTCTGAGCGCCCCATGGGGGCGGCTCGGTTCCGCGAGACCATCATCCGTTCCCGTCTCACAGTAGCCGGCGGGATGCATCATCTGCAACGTGCCAGCCAGCCCGCCCACTCGTACACACACCCCGTGTATTTCTGGCCAGGATGTCGCACGGCTCCGCGCGGCATTAAAGTTTCATAAACTGCAGACCTGTCCATCAAAACGAAGCCATCACTGACACACGTCGGCTGCGGCCAGCCTCGTCGGGCCAGCCTCAATAAGTTCGTTTCCGAGAGAGGCCCTGTGGGATGGTCCATTTGACCTAAGATCGTGGGGAAGCCGTAAATGAGTTTGAAAGGGATGTAAACGATTACGCTGGATCATGAAGGCCATTTCTTCAATCGTGTGGTGGGGGGTGGGGGGTGGTAATGGCCACCTGTCCTTAAAATAGTCCGACATGTTCGACACGGCACACATTGCACTGCGCCAGCCTCTCCATCCCGAACATCCGATTTTAATTATCGTAACTCAAGCACGCTAATATATTTAAAGGCTAATGGGATTTACAAGATTTATACATCAAATTGATGAAATTAACTGCGGTTCCCCAACCAGGGTGCTAGTGCTAGCGCCAGCTGTCAGGCTATAAGCTCTCCCTTTTGTGCCATTTGCAACACAATATGAAACTCGCGAAAGCCCCAGCATCAGCACACTCAACGTCATTACTCGCCGGCGCTAAACCCCTCCACGTGCCGATCTGGCGCTGCGTTCCTTTCAGTCCAAAGCGCCGTCCGTACAATTCGTCCACCGTAATTCACTGAAAACAAAACAGCATTGACGAGCGGCGTAAATTAAACCTCAATTGCGGCCAACCGCGAGCCATTTTTGAAGCCTTGTCTTGCACAGGATGCGAGATTATTTATTTAGTTTGTCGGTACAAAAGCCGCCGCGCTAATTGGCTTCCCAGGCACTGGGCAGCATTGGCGAAGAGCGATAGACGGCCAATTTCAAAAGCAATCACCGCGCGGAAAGTTCACCTAAAATATCACATTTAGCCGGCAATCCGATCAGCCACGCTAATGCTGTCATCACGAAATGGGGGGGGGGGGGAGATGATTGAAACAAATAAATGCTGACAAAGGAAACTAATCTCACTTTAAAAATGTGGCATTATCGGAGAAAGCTCAAGCAAACGCGTGAATAAAAATGTCTGCGATGGCGGTAATCACTCGTGTCTCCCACATTCACAGCACCAACACCCCTCCTGAGTGCCCATGTGCGTTTGTAATTTGGCGACGGGCAACGTGCACCGGTGCTGGCACCGTGTCACCATGAAGCTGAAAAGCTTTGTCATTTTGCCGAATTGTACGGACGGCGCTTTGGACTGAAAGGAACACAGCGCCAGATCGGCACGTGGAGGGTTTTAGCGCCGGCGAGTAATGACGTTGAGTGTGCTGAAAAGCTTCATGTCACCATGAAGCTGAAAATGGGATTCGTGCGAACGCTCGAATGCTGCTTTTGAAGCTGGCTTGGGCAAAGAAGAGCTGAGCGAACGCTTCGGCAAGATGACAAAGCTGCCCAAATTTTTGCAGTTTTAGCGATGTTCCTGCCCGACTCTTAAATTATTGCTGCCAATTAGCTTGAGATATCTAGAGCTGTAATTGTGGCCAAGGATTATATGCATCTTAATTAAGCCGTCGCCATCCAGCAATACTGACTTGACTCTGGAATCGCACGACAAAAAATACAATTCGAAACTGAAAATGATGCAAAACTTTCCACGAAAACACTCAAATAATGAGCTGCAGTAGAAGCCGTTAGCAGACACCTAACAAATTAAAAAGTGCAAACAACCTTCTCTCTCATTCTAACAAACGGTGCGAGCGGCACTAATTAAACAGAAAGAAGTTTTAAAAATGTAATCTCGCAGCCAGGCCAAATCCCAGTGGCCGCAGGACGGTTGGTACAGTCCAGTTTGCGGTGGCCACTGCCAGGGCGAAGAGGGCAACAAGGGCTCGGAAACAACAGTGGCACAACCTTTTAAAATGGCATCATTCATCTCCGTGCAGGTAAATGTTCAAACGACGTTCATTGTTAGAGCGACAGATTTATCATTTTCACACCTAAACTTTAGCAGCGTGGGAAGCAGAATTCTCTTTCTTGTACTCCACATTCGTGGCAAGCACGTCGCGCTCATATTCCATACCGATCGCGCAACGCGCAATGCCACGCTCAATAAGCGTTCCCTTTGTAAACGGAATGGCTGTCGACTTCAGCTGCACGCTCGCAGGTGCGCGCCTCCGTGGCAGACGTCATCAGCCGCGTGGCGCGGGGGGCAATCAGCCTCCACGACTTGCTGCCCGCTCACGCACACGCTGCACACACAACGCACACCGGTAAGAAACGGCGCCCGTGACAGTACCGGCTTCACATTCCCTATTGCCGTACAAAAACTGGAGGAAGGGCCCTTTGCTATTGATGGCCCCAGGGTCTGGAACGCTATTGCTCTGCTGCGCTTTGAAGCGAATTCTCTCTGTTGCCATCTCGTCTGCCACGCAGGAGAGGCCAATATCCTCATTGCTTCCTAAAGCAGAGAGAGCTACACTCTGGAAGGAGGTGGAGGGAGCTGTGCTATCGCCTCTAGGCATCAGGCAACCTGCCCAGCTGCCCGCCCGTGCCCACCCATGCCCCCGTCCCCGTCCGTGCCATGACTCCAAGCTGTCAGACTTGCCCTTTGAAGGTGAACATGGGCCTGCCCTCTGCATACGCGCACACATACACATACGTGCCTGTGCCTCCTCTCTCTCTCTCCGTGTCTCACAGCGACGGTTTAGAGACTTTGAGCCACGGGTGGCGCTGTCGTGCCTTTCGGAATAACAGCGCGGCACGGGCGGCGTTCTGTCAATTTAAAATTCCCTTTGGAACCCAAATGATGATTTCGTGGATTTTTCTTCTCAAAAGAATTCCCCGTGCCTCGGAGCACATTTTACCGAGCGCACGCAAACGTCTTGGTTAGAGAAGCCTGTCGCAACATTCTGCGAATCCACGTTCGTCGCTTTCCCGTTTGAAAAGTAATTTTTTTTATAATCGTGCAGGCGCAAACACAAATCTGCTTAGTTTTCCAAAAGCACTCTACACCACTCTTGTCCGCACTATTTATTTCATCATCATGATCCCGGAATGCCTTCAATCACTGCCCAGGAAAAAATTTACGGAGGCCTTCGTCCACCAGTGGATCTCATCTTAATCCTCTTAACTCCATGTGGAGCATAAGGCTGCAATAAGGCCACGCCATGCCGGATGGTCTTTAGCAGCTTTCTCTGCTTCACCCCAAGAAAGGCCCATGGTCTTCAGCCACCCGTGGATAGATCATGGCTAATCATGACAATAAAGAATAAGCCTACGGTGGCAAGGAGCAGAATTCTGCCTCAAATTCGTCTGTGCCCCTTCTGTGACAACCCCCACATTGCCGAATATTAATGACGTAACGCTTATTTGCGAGTCCGCTGCTGGGTGAAGGCCTTCCCACGCTGTAGTCAGTGACCGCGGTTGTTCGACCATACTTCACCAGGCTGGCCAGTGTGGGCTGGTGAAAGTGGGGCAGGCCCATGACCGGCTCAGAAATCACTCGCCACCGATGTTAGCCGTGGCCGGGAACGGAACTCAGGCTCATAACACAGCGCACTAAACACCGTGCCATCCGCTCCCCCCCCCCACCGTAGCCTTGGATGACCCCTAACAACCCCAGTAGTAGAGGCCAATAATGGCCACCGCGAGACGACCGAGGGAAGCGCGCGCTCGTCGGTTCGAGCCGCGACGTCTCAGCCTGGGAACCGGCTGCAGCACAACGAACAGACGCACGCAAAGATGACGAGTTCAGGAGGACGTCAAGCAATACGAATCATTCAGGGGGCTGCGGATCATCTCCAGCTGGAGCAAAGACCCTAGCGACGATGCCGCACTTGCACAATTCAACACGCATTATCACAACACGGGCGAGAGCGTTCGGCTACGCACGGCGCCGGGCGCCCACAACGTCACGCACAAAGCGGCACACGCACGAGGTGTCCCTTCTCAAGCAGCAGCTGTGAAATTGCGGACGAGTTACAGCAGCATCACCATCACCACCGCGGCGGCGGCAGCAGCGGCGTCGTCACCACGAGCGGCACACACTGGACTCGCGACGCAGAGTTCGCCGGTGCGGCCAGCTCTCCGCGGTTGGAACGAGTGGGCCATTTTCTCGAATCCTTCCCAGAGCCTCTGCGCACCCATTCGGCATAAATGGGTTTGAGACCACCACAGGTTAGGTCGGTCGGAAGGTGTGGCAGGGTAAAATGTGGGAAACTCCCACCGGTTCCATGACGTCTGGCCGGCGTGGAAGAGTAGGCCAAAATGTCCCTTTATGGGGGGGTTCTCAAGTGCTCTCTCGAGCAGAGGACCTTCCGCCAGCAGTCACGTGAAAAAGCAATTGCAGGGCAGCGCCTCTGACTTCACGTTCGGCCGGACAAAAACGCAGCTACAGCGTCGCACGATGTCCAACGAGCTCCTCTCTTACCCTTGCATTTGAAAGTAACATCTGTTGAAGGTGGCTGCGTGTCGTTATGAAATTCGTGAAATTCGATCGGAAGATAGGCCGTGATTAAATTTGCGTTTTTGTTTTCCACTGTAATTTCACCTTTACCACACGCCGCTTCGGCACACTCCACTCTTGTCACTTCTAATAAAATTTACCTGATGGGAATCGCACGTGACACTATTGCTAATTATGAAGGCTCATTAATTACAAAAAAAAGGCTCAGCCCTTCAGGCTTGGTGGTATTCTTACACTGCGCGAATTTAAAAAAACGAAGATACTAACGAGCATAAACAAAAAAACGGTTCCTACAAAGCGGGATTCTAAACGTCGCCATTTTGGTTCACACAGCGACCCCGGGTTAACCGCGTCCCCAGGCGCGGTACAGAACGCGCCGTGGCAGACACGCCATGCGGGGGGCCGTGGTTATTGAAGTCAGCCGCAATCTTGACCACCCTCAACGCACGGCCGCACGAGGCAACCGAGTTAGAGAGAATTGTCCGATAGCCGTTTTAACGTGTCCGATAACCGGCCGTGGCTCACGTCCAACGTCCGTGGTGAGGGTTATGTGAAGTGGGCTTCGTGTGCGAAGTACGGTCAAACAACCCCTGAGGGTGACGCACAGCATGAGGAGGCCTTCATGCGGCAGTGGACGACCATAGGGCTGTGCTTAACTTACATTTACTCTCACAGACATTCAATCTTCTGCTTTGTCCAAACGGTGAAATTGATTTCTCCCTTAAACGAGCATTGAGGCGGTGTTCAAATCCTGTTCACGGCACGGAACCAGTGGTGGAAATTCAACATTCCTATGACAGGGGCGAGTCTATCAATAGGTTGCCGTTACGTGCACAACTGCAGGAAGGTGGGCTGCTGAGACAACACGTTGTTTTAAAGCTCTTCCTCTCTCTCTGTTTCCAAGGAGGCGAGGGCTCTGCAGAGACCTCGTTACCACTCGGCCCACCAAGCGAGACGGCCGCGGGACCGTTCACGCCACCCTGGGTCCTGACACTGCGCCATCACGAAAACGTTCCCAGCCAGCCGGCGTGAGTTTCATCGCGAGGTGTTGATTGTGACCCGCGCCGAGGGGAGGCGCGAGCTGCTGCGCTGGAAACTGCGGCGACAATGGCGTCAATTCGTCGAGATTAGTAAAACAATAATAATAATAATTACTGATGCAGTGTGATGTACACGTCCTGCAGGTGCAAAATTAATACAACACAATATGGATTTACAGTATGTCTCGATGCAACCGCATCTCGCGATGCTGCACAAAACAATGGGACACGGCCATCCCAAGGAAAGAAGGAAGCAATATTTATTCATTTGTTTTTTTTACATAGCCAAAGAGGCGACCAGCCATGGGCAGGGAGAATAGGGAAAGATCTCGAGCCGCGACTTGAACGAGGGCAGGCAGTCAACAGCACAGGCGACCGCCAAGCGCGCACACGCTCACACACACAGACGAGTAGGTCAAGTGCGGTTGTGCACACGGCGCCAGAGACAATTCGCCGAGCGTGCCTGCAGAGCGGATTTATGCGACAGCACATCGTGGGGAGCTCGGGCACGGCGTCCAAACAATTCAACCAGTGGGTTTTGTGCACAGCCTGGTTAGAACCCACCGACACAAAATAACTTATGACTTAGAGCCGGGGAGAGGTAGTCCGTTGTTCACACTTTTGTAACATTCAGCACAAGTCGGAGGACACAACTCCTGGAAGCTGGCAACAACATCGGGCACACAAGAGCCATAAATCCCGGATTCTTTCTTCCCGACACGCGGCTCAAGACTCATCGTGGCACTTTTTACATCGTCCGCCCGACCTTGTGGGACGAAACGCGACTCAACAAACTGGAGGAGGCGGGGATAAAACTTCCAGCAATTGACGTCCGCTGCTTGCCACGCCGGGGCGCGTGCCGAAGAGAGGCCATCCGTGACCCTTGGCAGGATTTATGGCGACGCCAGCCACTGCCCGGGCCGGGTGGCACCGCGGCCATTCACCATCCTCGCGTGGGGGTACCGCGCTCGCAGGCGCGCGGCTCGCGAGACAGCGGTGCCACCGCCACCGACGACCCCCGCTGCTCCCCGCCCCGTGACCTGCTCGCTGTACCGCGCGGAGAACACACGTGTGCGTGTGTGTGCGTGCGCGCAGGGCGCCTCCATCTTGGGCAGGGGGGGGGGGGGGGTATGTCCCTCGTTCTGTGATTTATTCATCTCTTTGTTGCTCCTCTCTCTTCACAGCTTTGCGTCCTAGGAGGCCACACTGATAGGCCACGCCGAGTGTTTCATAATGATGCACACTTTATTTAACTGCGTTCGTGTGATATTGCTATTATTTATTACAAGACGCAATTTGGATTAATGCAGTGCCTAAATGCGATATTATCTCAAATACGCTTTACAGAACCAGCTGGAATATTTATTAAAGCGTTTCCCATTTTATCCGCCTGCCTGTCCGTCTTGCTCTCTGAGGCTGCCCCCGTCTCTCTCTCTCTGCATCCCAGAGCCCGTTTCACCGCATGCCACAGGGAGCCGCACCATTTGCCCCAAAATCGCCTCCATCTATCCGACAGCAATCGACGCGACGGTTTTGTGCCGTCTCGGCGGTGATCACGTGACAACGCCTGCAGAACGACGTGACGGGAGTCGTGCCTTCCTGCCGCGTGTGAGCGGCACATCTTTACGTGCCGTTAAATCTATTTCCCAGATCTGTTCGGCAACCGGCAACCTCGTCCAACCCGCCAACGAGCACAAAGACTGACCCTGAGCAAAGGCATCGAGCGACAAGGGGAACCCGATCATTCTTGGGACGAGTGCAGTAAACTATTGCCGTAAACTATGGCCGTAAAATAAGGTAAAGGGAGGAGATAAAAGTCCAATATTGCACGCGGAATATTACATTAGCGAGTGAGGTCAACGTGTCGACCGGCTCTGTCGTTCTCTTGTCCCTGCCACGAGGAGGACTGGCACTTTTGTGAGGAAGTCTGCTGATAATTACCTCGTGACTGGAAGGGCCTCTCCCGAGACCCCCTGGCAGGGCTGCGTCTCCGCAGCCAGATGAAGTATCGACTGATCAACTGACGGCGCAGACGCCGATTGCCGTCTCACCGCAAGCCATCGCTCCTGCAGCACGGCCGTCGGGAGGGCACGGCCGTCGGGAGGGCACGGCCGTCGGGAGGGCACGGCCGCTATCAAAGGCACTTTGAGACCGCCCGTTGAGCACTGCTGCGTCTGCAGAGACCACGAACGATGGCAACGCGGACGCCGCATTCATGGGCCCGGCGCACGTTTATGCATTTGGGATCCAACATCATTTGGATTTAAATGCGAATGCATCTACAGACACGAGACAGAAAGAGGCAGTCGGTCATAGGCAGAGGTTAAAAGAATGGTCTTGAGCCTGGACTTGACAAGGGGCAGGGAGTCGACAGCACGGATGACTTGGGGGGGAAGAGAGCTCCAGAAGATGGGAGAAGGCAGATGGAGACGATGGGGGCAGGACAGGAGAATGAGTGGCCTCCCGCTCCAACATGAGGGTGTGTGCACACATAATTATGCACCGCACGTCATCCAGGGCACACAAATCCGTGTCGCGACACTTTTTTTTACGTTCGGGTTACGTAAGAGCGCTTGATTAAGCATCTCCTTTTTACCCGTTGCGATCAAAGGCTCGGCGCCAGGCTGTGTATCTGTCGGAGGCTTTCCAGTAACGGTATGCAAACCCCCTTCATCAATCCCACCTCTTCATCGCAAACAACCCCTTCCACATCTCAGTCATCGGACACATCAGTGGGTTTCCGCTCGCCTTTGTAATCCACGCTGGGGCCGACATTAATGGCAGCTCTTCAAACACCACATGGCGGTGGCGATGACGTGGCTTCTGGGAATGTGATGGGCCGACGTTCGAAAAACACGTAAAAAACTGGACGATGCCAAAAGCGCTCGCCAAAATCCAGTGTCGGGAAACGAGCAACCGATGTGGGATCGGCAGCTGGTGGCTGGCAACCAGAGGCGCCACAGTGGCGAGATGTTAACTACCCCGCCTGGTATACAGGAGGTTGTGGGTTCGATCCCAATCCTGACACCTGTATGTTTGGCGTTTGTATGTTCTTCCCGAGGTCACGTGGATTTTTCTCCGGGTCCTCCAGTTTTTCCCTACACATTTAGAATCAACGTGCGTTGAGAGTATTTGGCTGCTATAAATGTCCACATGATAAGCCACTTCGTTGAGCTCAGTGCTGCCTTACCTGGTACAATAAAAAAAAATAGTTTACAGATTTAACTTGCGTCATCCATCTGTCAATTCGACCTGTGACTTGGCCACTCACACAACTTGAGAGGACCCTCGTTCGACGCAATGTGGTGCTCCGTGCGCGTGATGAATTCACGTGCAAATGTTCGTTCAGTGAGTACCATGAAAGAATTCACTCTTGGCAAACGAAGGCGAGCGGTTGCCAGCTCTACGGATGCCCTGCCGGCACTAAAGATGGACGATTAAGACCATGATGTCACCATGGCCAAAGCCGTTGAGATGTTACCGCACCTCGCCAGCAATTTGTTCCCTCTGGCAGATCCTGCAGCTGCTGCACAGTGAACATGCGACACCCAAGCTTGTCCCTTACAGATGCCATCCTTATTTTTGAAGTAATTGTTTTGAATCGAGTGGAAAACAAAACCAACAAGGTATTGTACCTGGTTGCAAAAACACAGGGCAAACGTTAAATGTTCCCCGAGGGTGTGGGAAACCACAGCACGGGAACTAACTTAAGAGTAACCTCCGACTCTTCTCCAACCCCAGCTGTGCTCTACGAAGGCAGCCATCTTGATAACCCTGATAACTCCCGTCAAGGCACCAATGTCTCGTTTATATCGAACGTCTAGGCCAGAACCAGCAGTGCAAACAAACGTACAACAAAAACAACCACATTAAATAGAAAATAAGTCCAAGTGCAACAGAGACCACTAACATTATTCAGTTTTTATGGATTTTGTTTACCCTCAGTCTCGACTCTTGCTTAAAGTAATGGCAATGCAGTGGTGTCCATTTAAAACAAAAAGTCAAGAGATAAAAGGGACCATAACGCGGTGAAATTTGACAAACACTAAAAAGCATAAAAACCAACATAAGCGCTCGGACCACGAGGTATTACACGGCGGTGTGGGCATGAGCAGCTCCCGCCACCTAATGATGCACTCTGGGAGCTGGTTACACCGAGCAATTGTTCACAGCTTTCACCAAACAGACCATTTAGAATCGTTTGCAAACCCACGCACACTTGCCTCTGGCCGAATCACCGTCCATGTACCCTATCTCGCAAGGGTCTCGGAAGCTAAGCAGGCTGGAGCCTGGTTAGTACTTGGAACGATCACCACCACTGGGGCTTGCCAGCTGTTATAGGAGCAAGGTTGTGAGATGTGGCCAGCAGATGGCATTGCTGAGTGTCTCCCCCTCCATATGCATTTTGGGTTTTCTCCAGGTTGTCAGTGAGGCTTTTATCGATAAATAGCTGGTGTTATGATTCGCAATGAGTTCGAGCTGTGAATGATAAATGCCCGCTGTGCTTTGTGAATGTGTTTGGGCACAAAGAGGCCGAACGGTTTTCTAACATCTGCCCGTGAGGTCTAACTCCACCTATTAACAGAGCAGAAAACAAAATGGCTGCCTCTGCGCATATTAAGCCAAGGCCAAAAAGGTCAGCTGTGGCTTCTAAGAGTACCCAGAGGACAAGTGACAAAGATGAAATGTATAAGCGAGTGAAAGTGATTGAGAGCCAATGTGCCAGGAGCAAATAAATATTATGAGCCAAAAACAGCCAATATAATGTGATATAAAGTGGACATCATAGAACGAGCTACGACGCCAAATGTTTTAATGATAGAGCAGCCAACATACGTGCCATGTCACTTAAAACCCGCGCACTAAAATCAAATGAGAAAAAAGATATTTTACAGTCAATAACTCTAAGTGCTGTGCGATAAGAAGAGATTGAAAATGTGCGCCAATGTGATAAGGACTTTTAACATGGAGAGTTTTAGGCAATTACAAAGGCAGCTTTAAATTCCTCGCTTGAAAAAAAAGTGCACGTTTACATCTGGCACGCATCCCCTCAAGGATTGTGGCCAAATCCCCTTGCCAGTGGCCAGTCTCCTCAAATCTCCTCGGAGGCCGAGCAGGGTCCAGCCTGAACAGTGCTTGGATGTGAGACCACCATGCACAATTAGGCTGTTATCGGCTGCGGAACCATGTGAAGGGAAGCTAAATCAACGGTTGTTAGGTACTTCTATGGCTCCATATCTAAGCTGCCTGCCTGCCTTCATCAACCGGCGCTGACCAGCGTGGCGAAGCACGGTCAAATAACCGCCACGACGAGCACGGTGCGGGTGGAGGCCCTCATCCAGCAGTGGATTGACAAAGGGGGCTGTTCGTGTACAGGCGGTGCTGGTATTGGGGGACATAGAGGAGGAGTCATAACGAGAGGTGACCACGCAAGACGCAGGGGCAGCCAGGGCCCAGAGTGACCTCCACCCCCTTCACTCTCACTGCCACAATTACACAGTGGCTTATTCGTATTCAACCGATAAACATTCCAAATTGTACTCACTCCAAGCCAATGTTTTATAATAATCTGAAGAATGCCAGCCATTGAGGTTCCTATGCGATACAGCAATTAAGAGTGTAGCAGGGAAATTAGTCAAGGGAAATTAGTCAAATTACCATAACGCATGTTTATAAATATTCAGGTACGTCAACATCTACCCGTATCTAATGGGTTTTTTTTTAACGAGTAATTAGCTAAAACTGTACGCTGATTGAATTTTAAATTGTGTAAATTAGACGGAGAGAGGCCCAATGTTTATATGAACTAGGCTTTGCTTTAGCTACAATATATCAAAGCACGCTGGCAGCTTAACGTGCCAGTTTACTCATCGGCGCTCCTGTTTTTGCGCCAAGCAAACGTGATTTATTGCGTCTTTAAGAGCGCTGTATTGAAGGCACCTTGAAAGCATGCAGCATTCCACGTGGATCCACAAAACATGAAGACTTCGCTCCAGCCGTTAGCCTGCGCGCCTCATTGCAAGCCTCGTTACCATCGTCGTCGCTTCATAATAGCTACCACCTCGCGTCGTCAATTCAACTGGATGGCAGCCACGCGGAAAGCCGCTGGGTGATTAGGTGCGTTTGACCACGTCTCTCTCTCGAACGTTACCCCGACGTCCCCTGGGCGCGCACCTTGAGCTAATCAGGGTGGAGTTCGGGTTAATGTCTCGTTACAGCCAGCCACTCCGTCGGCAAGGCCGCGACCCTGACACCCGTGACCTGAAAGAGCGCTCGCTCGCTCGCATCTGCACGCTCGCGCACAGCGCAGGCAGCTTAATTAATGAAGCAGTAAATGTTTAAATGGCAAATGGTGCTTGCGACCTAATGGGCATATTCCAAAATA